GTAAGCTGAGCAATTATTAACCATCTTAAAATAAGAACTGAAGATGGAAAGTTCATAAAACAGAATGTTCAAGTCGACAGTCAAGTTTAAGCGTCGGAGGAATGAAACCATTTTTCCTGAAACCAAACATAAGTTATTTTAAATCTTCCCTCCACGTAAAATAGACGGAAGCATCTAAGGCTGGTGACAGATCTGAACCAACAACAGTTAAAACACTACGAAATTGCAACACCAACAAAGTTACAAGGTCTACAAGTCGGTTGAGTTTGGCATAACTTAATGAACAGGCAGTCTGCTTAAAATAAATTCGCATTCTTCCATATTTTCATTGTCACGATTCTGACGTTATAATCTCATACTTTATCATACCTCCACTATTTAGTTATTTTTTTCGAAAACATTTTCGTGATGCCATCCGGACACAAGAAACCATTCTTCTGATCAAGCTTTTTTCTCCAACCGTTTTATTTGCTACAATATTTCTAGTGTTATGATTTCGCTTTTACTTTACGACCAGCTGATAGTCGGGTAAACACTCACGTTTTTATTTCAATAAACACAGAAATCACTTTCGTCATACCATCATAGTTAATGTTACTTCCACATTTCGCGCATTCCACTTGACTGAAAATTCAATCTAGAAGTTTGTAGGAACTTATTTATTGATTTCAGGCTAAGATTCACCACAGACTGATTGAAATCATCTAAGGAACCATTGAAAACCTGGGCACTCTAGTTTACCGTTTCATCTTGGTACTGGACTCCTCAGGAGTGCACAAGCATGATCCCTCCGAGGATCGAACCCAGGACCTTCGGGTTCCGTACGTTGTCATTGAGCCACTGGGTCGGAATCTAATGGTCTATGTAATGCCGTCGTTAGATAATTGTCCTCATATCGAAGTCGGTTGGTCCCAGCTGTAATTTCTTTCTCTGTATCGTATATTTTGAAAATATTTAAATATGTAAAACGTGATCATGTGACATGGTGTGACATTTTGTAAGTCATTGATCTGTAGGTGTCAAATATTACGGAATGTATCAAATTTCTCTGGAATTCACAAAACATGCTATTTAGTGTAAATAATCAGTATCGATCATGATATGAAGGCTGGTGTGTTCAGGATTTATTTGTCTGTAATGTACAGTAACTCACTCTTAAGTGGTTGGCTTTTTTTATAACTATAAAATTTGAGGAGCTAATGTCTGCAATCATGTGAATAGTGTGACAATTCCAATCATAACAGTAATAATTCACGTTGTGAAACTTGAATAGTACGTAAAAGCAGCTACACAAGAAATCAGTCATATGAAAAGCTTATATAATGCAAACAAGGTGCACAAGAGAAACAGAATAATCAGTACGCTGTATAAAATGAATAGAAGCAGTTTGAACAAATTTTTGACTTCAAGTAGGATGATATGCAACTGGCTCAGTCGTCAGTAGCCGCATCGGTGGCTGAAGTAAGCGATATAACAGTTTTCAAGGCAACAATAAATGTGCTATAAATCTGATTCCTTTACAAGAACTAGGTACTTTTCATTTATTTTTGGCACATTCATGTATTCATTCTGTTTTAGATTCCTATGAAGGAGTATACTACTCATCAAAATACATGCAGTAGCACTGATTCACTACAAGCCAAATTAGGATAGGCAGCATGTTGTTTGCGAAATCTTCTGCAATCCAGCAGATTCTACCTTCATCAGTTCTGTCGCTTACTATCAATTACAGTGATCTGTTTGTTCAAGAGATTAACTTAATATTTGTGCTGTAAATAACAGTATTCATTGAAATCAATGTCTTCCCCATTTCGAAAAAGCTTATATCATTCATGAGGCTGAGAATATGTCTTACGTGAACTGAGAACAGTTCTACTTACTTCATGTACGCTTTTTCCTTTAAATTATTGTTAACAGTGATTGTTTTTGACAGTACTCATGGATATTGGTTAGCAGTGGAATGCAAAACTCACGTTTCCTTCTATTTAGCACTCGTCAACTGGATGTATATGCCTCCCAGTGAGTCATTTTATTCCCACTAAAACTCTTATTATATGCATTAACGTGAGGTTTGCTTCTTCCTGCTTGTTTATATCACTTCACTTAATGTGTCACTAAAATGAAACTAAAAAATGAATTTATCTCAACAAACTGACTGTTTATGCTCAATACACTGTCACTTCGGTAATTTTTTCTTTGGTAATATCTATCACCTTGTGGATACAGATGTCTTCATCACATTGGAGACATTCTCATACTATTATTCAGACTGTTGAAACAAGTAGTAGACACATAGTTTATCACTTTTACTTATTTAGACATCTAGGTAATGACGAAAGTAGGATTTAAAGAATATAAAGTAGAGAACTAATGAACATAGTGAAAGTGTAGCAATGTATGAACCTCATTGACGAATCCAAATCAGTGCTATCCGTGTTATCACCCTATTATTCTTTATGTCTTTGTTAGCGAAATGTTCAGGTCTCAAACCCGATAAAGAGTCAGGTGTGGTTGTGATGGATAAATGTAATTACAAAAACAAGATGATATCCATCCTTAAAGGTGAAAGTAAATTTATGGCTGATGTTCCATCAGACGACCTTAGAAAATTAGAATGAAAAGTAACATCTAAGTCTGATAAAACTCTTGAATATCAATGTCATCAGCAAGGAAGAATTTACTTCCTTCAAACCAATGGGATCTGAGCTACCTAATCTCTATGGATTGCCTAAAATTCATTAAACAAATAATCCTTTACGCCCTATATTCTCCATGTTCCGTTCACCCACACATAAAGTGCAGAAATGGTTAGCAAAAACTTTAATTTTTATTCGAAATGAATTATGTAGGTTTTCTTTAAAAGATACTTTTGAACTTGTTGATTGTGTTAATGATATTAATATCAAAGATAAGAGATTGTATTCATTTGATGTCAACTCCTTATTTACTATTATCTTATTATTATTATTAGTCCCTAATGGAACATAGGGCTTCAGTAGCACGTCTCCAGTGACCTCTGTTCTCTAAAATCTTTTGAATTTGGTTCCACGACAGCCCACAACCTCTCATTTCCTCCTCGCACCATCTCCTCCATGTCACCCTCACCTCGGATACCCAACTCGTTGCTTCCCTTGGGGATTCCACTCGAGTGACTGGCCTGATGCGTGATGTCCCCAGTTGGCCTTCTCAGTGTATGTCCAATCCATCTCCACTTCCTTCTGCATATTTGTTGCGTGATAGGTTCTCGGTTGGTTCGTTCCCAGAGCTCCTTGTTGCTTATTCTAACTATTCTGGCCATTTGATCTTCAGTAACGAGGCAGCGTAAGCAGTTGTTGATGAATGTCTGTAGTTTATTGGAAATCCCTTTCGTAACTCGCTTGTCTCTGAACCATACAGAAGCACTGACTTTACGTTGGTGTTAAAAATCCTGATCTTGTTCCGCATGCTGAATGTAGAAGCCTTATTTACTAATGTACACCTAATTAAAACCATTGACATTCTTTGTGACCATATATCTTCCAGTAATCCTTCTTCCCCTATCCGCTCGTGTTTGAGAGAGCTTTTATTATTGTGTACTGATAAAATTCGTTTCACATTTAAAGGTGAACATCTTCGACAAATAGATGATGTGGTTATAGGAAGTCCCTTAGGACCATTAGTAAAGTTACTCTCTATAAGAGATGTGTTGATGATATAATCGTGATATGTGACAAGCATGAAGATGAAACGTATTTGTTAGAAGGACTTAACATCGTACAAAACAACATAAGCCTGACATATGAAGAAGAGAAAGAAAACCGTCTACCGTTCTTGAATATACTCTTAAGTCGTAGAAATGATGGTTCAATAAAACGGTCGATCTACAGGAAACCTCCTTGGACAGGTTAGTATTTAAGTTTCCATAGCTTTTGTCCAACCTGATACAAACTAGGTTTGGTAACTTGCCCATTTAAAATTATCCAGCGTATTTGTACGGAAGACTCAATGCATGATCATATCGAAATACTAACGGGAACATTAGCGGAAAATGGATATCCATTGAAGTTCATAAACCTAATCTGTACTCTGTTTCGAGGATGTGCATTTACATCGCGTTATCATACAGAGGAGAAACTAACTGCATAATATTAAAACGAATGTTAAGGTCTGGTATTAGCATAACGTACTATGCAGCTAAGCTTGTCGTAGTTAAGATGACCAAACACCTGCTGCAACCTAGACCTCAACTCTGTATAAACGAGTGCGTCATATCCCACTGCGTTTATAAATTTACATGTGTGTGTGAACAAACATGCATAGGGAGGACTAATCGTGATATGCATTTGAGGGTAGGGGAACATGTTACAAAATGGTTACGAAAGCAGCTGGATTCACAAACATCGATAAGCACAGATGGCAGACAACCATCATCATTCATTGCAAAACGTATCCTTGATAAAAGTTAAAGGATTGATATTTTATATCGAAACTGTCAGTGGCGTATACTTAAGTTTGTTGAGGTGCTAGCCATAAATAAATCTGACCCTCTATTATGTGTGCAAAAACGGTTTGTCCTCAAGTTTAGCCTACCTTGGTAATGCATATTTTATTGTATTACCAAGATTGTCTTCAAATCTTATCTTTTTTTCCCTTCATTATCCAGTAAATGCTACTGTTTCACTGTGTGATATTTCTAATAAACAGACTAAAATGGAATTACACTCGACCACAGTGCCGAAGTTTTACACCTATACTTCACTATCTTTCTTATTATTGAATTCCTTTATGTCATACGTGTCTTTCGCTCAATTCCAGTTTTCATATGTTTAATGCCTTAACAAGTAAATGTGTGATCAGATTGTTCAAAATGTATAACGCTAATACATTATATTTTTCAGATAATCTACGTCTTCTAATTACATTATCCAAATTCATAGGTGGGACTAATTATTTCAAACTGCATTTCTCTTATTCCCCCCAGAATAGTCACCAAACTCAAAATTGTTTGCAGAAGTCACATCTGACTAACATAGCCTAATTATACTAAATTAGAATAATAATACACCAAAATAAAAGAGAACAGTATCTGTTTGTAGAGCAGTTTCATTTATTGTTTTGAACTTTGAGCTTTATAGTACTCAGGTGTATAGCTCAATTTGAAGTTAAAAGTTCTTGAAATTTGCTGTTCTGTTCATAGCAACATAAAAAAATATTGTGGAAACATATTAGCCTATAAAACACTCAGATAATATGGAATACATTTGAACGAGAAGGATGTGTCAGTAGACCAAATCATTTATCGTTTCAACTTCAATGAGACAGTAAATACACTTCGGTCATCATTAAAATAAAGCTGAACTTGAAATACAAAGAAGAACAATGATAATCCCAATGAGTTTAGGTGTTTTCAACATTTGGGAAGCTGATCTATACCGCTGTAATTGAAAGTGGAAAACAGAAAAAAGTAGAGTTTTAATACAGATTTCAATGGACAAGGTAATTTGTGTGATAATATTCATTTTTAATTAGAGAGCTAAATGTTCGTTTGCCATTCGAACCGTAGAGATGAATACACCTACTTCGATAGTAAACACATTCCATTCTGTACTTTGATAATTTTATTGAGAACGCAAGTATTTCAAGGTATCATGCAGCATTCCTCTGTAAACGTCAGTTGGCAGTACTACTAATATTTTGAATAATATGTGCTGAATGAAGCGAATCACCAAGTCGTGATAAAGTCTGTTGATTGCCATGGTAATTATTTAGCTTAGTACCTGGTACTCCATTTCATTTCCATATTCTTTGGCATCCCAACTAGTTCAACCACTTCTCACAAGTCTATCTGCGTTTAAACTCTTCAGAACAATTTATTCTTACTTCACCGTGTGATGAGGGAAACATTTAATGAACATAAGTGAACAAGATGCACATGATGTAGACTGCAAGTACTAACTTGTCACAAAAAGTAGCGTAAAACCATTTTGCATTTATGGATATTAAACAAGATTGAAAAACTCGCCAAGTTAACTAGTTCACTAGTTACCAGTCGATCCTAAGGCACGATAAAGAGGGAAGGTTGGGCATAGGGCTAACAACCCTAACCTGGAAAACCAATCCAATCGCCAATGAAACTTCGAAGCACAAATAACATGCAAAACATTACAATAAACTTATTCCTCGCTGCAATCAAAGAGGCTAAATGACGTCAGTTGGTGAAAGCCTTCAGAAAGCCAATTCACCATGTATTTTCTCTTCTCTTCATAAAAGCAAGAGTAAACATGGGAACATGGAATGTCAGCACAATGTTTGAAGCTGACTCCAAAGGCTGGTCAGAATGCGAAAGAGATGAGAATGTATGGCATAGAAGTGTTGGGCTAGGAATCTGTGAAAGCAGATGCAAGGGAAGTGGACTCTCCCAACTGTCAACTGGAGAGTCAATCAATAATCTACTCCGATATTCTCACACAGATGACAACCACGAGCACAGCACACTGAGTTCTCCAGTGGCTATCATGAAGTCACCAACAGCATTGAAGGCTGTCTCTCATGCAGTGGGAACCAATCTTCTCCTCCACGATGAGGATCATGACAGCAAGATTCAACTCGAAAGGGAGGGAAGGCACAATCATACAATGCTACGCTATGATATGCTATGTTGTGCACCTACAAATAATGCAGATCAAGATCAGTACTGCACACGACACCACCCCAGATGGCGAAATCAAAATTCTACTGGGCAATATGAATGCAAACTGGGGTCGGACAACACAGGAAGAGAATTTATCATGGGTAGAAAAGCACTCGGTGAAATGATGGATGAGAATGGAGAACTGTTTGCAGATTTCTTCACATTCAGTGATTTGGTGATTGGAGGTAGTGTGGACAAGCACAAGGATATCCACAAGACTGCGAGAGACATGGATTTGATTTCATCAAACACTACGATACACTACAATAGAAATGAGATCGACTTCATCTGAATGTGAAGAGGGTGGAGATGAAGCCTACTGGACACAAGATGAGGTGAAGAAGGGGAGATGTAGGAGATGTGGGTTCACACCAGTCACACCACTATCTAGTGGAAGGAACCTAACTACCAAACCAAGTAGAAAGCCTTCACAGAAGCTGGTGATGATAGACCACAGTTCAAGTTGAACACCGAGAACGGAAAGTCAACCGAAGGACGAAACTACAAAGGACATCCTCACGTCAGTCAGCCATCAGGACAAAAAATGGGAGACGTTGAGTAAAGTAGGTGAAGGATGTGGCGTGGAAGAACACTGCAACTCCCTGAGTGAGATGTGGAAGGAATCCTGCATAGCGGTGCTGGGAAGGAAGAAGAAGCAAGAAAAGATAAGACAAGCTGTGGATGTCGATGGACACATGGAAGGTGATAGAGGATGGAGAGGACGATAGTGAAGCAGCAGATAAACCAGTGCAGTGATGAACAACGAGAAGAGGAACTGAGTACAACCTACATAACACAGGAGAAAGAAGTGAAAAGTGGGCCGGGAGATATAAGACATATCTACGATACGTTTGCAAGTGAAGCAGAAAAGGCTGCAGGTAGGAGAGACCTGAGAACACTACATCAAATAACCCGGTTACTATGTGGGAAGAGATCAACACAGATGAAACCAATGAAAGATAGTGAAAGAAATGTAGTTAGTGAAGAGGAGGAAAAAGGGAACCCATCGGCTGCCTACTAAAAAAACTCTTCAATAAATCACCACCACCAGTGCAACCTGCGATTCCTCCAGAAATACTACCGGTAGCCCAGGCACAGAACTATCAGCGAACACTAGCCCTCCAACAAAAGCAGAAGTCCTGAACGCCATAAAATTACTGAGCTCCGGGTAAGCAGCAGGACAACATAGAATTCTGCCAGAAGCATCGAAAACAAGCAGAGACACCAGCGGACATGTTCTCAACACTATTGTAGAACGTTTGCAAGGAAGGAAGGAAGGAATAATGCTCCTGTCCACACCAACCAAGCAAAATATTTAGCCACATCATCCCAGAGAGATTGAGAAATACTCTGAACTCAAAATTACCATCCGAATACGCTGGTTGGCTTCATGAAAAATAAATCGGATGCGGATCAAATTACAACGATACGCCACACATCATCATACAACAGAGCATAGAATGGCAGTCAACTCAACTTTACCTCAACTTCACCGATTATGAAAAGTCTTTCAACAGCGTCAACCGAGAAGTAATTTGCCAGGCAACTGCTTCAACACTACGCTTTTAGTGCAACAAACCCGTTATCAACCTCATGGATCAGATAAATATCACTATGTCATATGATGCTACATGCCAAGTGATTCACAATGGAGAGCTCAGCTCAGTGATGTCTTTGAAGTGAAGTGAAGTGAAGTGAAGAGAGGAAGGAGTAAGACAAGGTTACCACCTACAATCTCCGATCATCTTCCTGATTGTGGTTGACTGAACTGAACTGGATTGGACTGGACTGGACTGAATCATGCAAGAAAGTGTGAGGAGCTGTGAGAAGATGTACATGCACTGGCTGGACTGTTGAAATGAACTCAGAGGGAGATTTTGATTCTGCCGACGATGATGATGATTGATATCTAATGTCTTCTGTAGCACGAACTGGAAGATCTACAGGTGAAAACTAACAAGTTGGCAGGAGATGTTATACAGAGCAGTGAAGGAAGACGTGACTTCAGATGAACGTAGATAATACAGAGGTGATGAAGATACTCAACCAACAACAACAACAATAACAATAACAAGCACCAACCACCATCAGTCGGGGAAATGTAAAGGAAGTAGTTTCTTTCACCTACCTAGGCAATGGAGTATCGTTTAACTGCAGGCGACACAAGCACAGGTGAGGATGTGAAATACAGGATCGGAAAGACAGTAAGGCAGGCATTCATTAACTTGAGATCTTCTGCACTGCCCTGCACTCAGCGTGAAGAACAACATGCAGATTTTCAACACTAATGTCAGTCAAGTCAGTTCTTCTATGTGGTTCAGAGACTTGGCGCGTTACGAAAATATTTCCAATAAACTGCAGGCATACATCACATCAACAGCTGCCACCTACGCTCACTCGATATTGAAGGTCAAATAGATGGCCACAATAATAAGAATAAGCAACAAGGAACTCTAGCTGTCAATGAACCAAACAACTAACAGGCTGTCGCCCAACAAATATGCAGAAGAAAGTGGAGATGGTTTGGACTGAGCGCACACTGAGTAGACCACTTGGGGACATCACGCGACAGGTCAGGTTCTCGGGTGGAACGCGCATGGGAAACGACGAGTTAGGCGTCCTAGTCCAGAGTGACGTGGAGGAGATGGTGTGGGAAAGGAATGAAAGCTTGTGGGCAGTCGTGGAGTCAGGTTTAAAAAGAAGACTGCAGAGAAGACAGTAAAATGGCGATCTGCTACTGAAGCCCATATTCCCCTAGGAACCCAACGGAAAAATAATAATTATATAAACAGACCAATTTGACAGACAAATATGACAGACGAATCAGTCAAGCTACTCTTGAATATAAAAAATTGGCATAGACCAAGTGCAAAACGATCTTAATGATCTGATTCAATGTTGAAACTAAGACTTGGAAAAGTTGTACACTACTTGAGAAGGGAAACTATATACGAAAAGCTGGCAATCCCAGTATCTAGACCTGTATACTGATTCTGAATATATATGTATAGTTTACTAGTCGCATCTTATCTGTACCATTTTAGGCAACATTATGCATGAGTTCATGTGCCACTGGCTTGGATAACATTTCTGCTGTTAGGTCAATTCACAAGCGTCATAAAAATAATACATCAACACCATATTTCAGAACATTACACATAATTTGAGGGAGTCGTCTGACTTGAAACCTTATAATGACTTACAAATTATAAGTCAGATTTAATACAGTTGAGTACTTCGTAGTAAAACTAGACATATTTTTGTTTGAATATCTTTAGCGAAGAAATAATTTGAAAAGTGTTTCAAATAACGCTCTATTAAACATTGTATCAACATTTGTTGGAAGATATTTACATGGTTAACTTAGTCATCTGATGAAATGTTGTTTGAATTAACTGATACGAATTTATACGAATTTCAGTTAGCTAACATCTATGCTGTGAATGGTCAAACTTTCTATCGGTATGCTTTCACGTGATCTGTAACACCTTCACTCTTTTCCCTCTATTTTAATTTCAGTCGCATCAGATAGTTTTGCTTCCACTAAATACATTCTCTTTGGTTGTCCGTGTATAATGAAAGTTCATAACCCAACTTCATAAATGCTAATCAACTCTGATGATCTAATCGTCTTTATCCTTTTATATCTTGTGAAAATTGATTACTAACTTCAGATTTGGCTTAGAAAGAAGCTTAATAAAAGGATAAAGCAACGTGTTCCCTAGGCCACCAATAAAACAAGAATTGCCTATGCTGTACCAAATAGTATTGAAACTGACAAATATGTTATGCGTACAGTAGTGTAAATCCACAAAAGTTTAGTTTGCATAACTTGCTTACTATTGTGAGGAGTAATGAGGAGTCAATATTTGTTCTATCTAATCCACATCTACATCTAACGAAGTACTTCTAAGTAATTCTATATATTTGATAGAAACGCGGAACTTGGATTCCGTAAGAGAATGTTGGTTTGCATGTCTGTTTATTTCAAATATCATCTAGTGTTATAGTATTATTCATCACATTGAAAAATGATCAGTCATTCATGATGAAATCAAGATAATCAATTGTATGAATGTTCAAAATTAATTTCCCCTTTTCTGGAGTTTCTCATGGTACACTACCATTCACGTTGTACGAAGTTATTACCTCGTATCTATTACTTTGGTTTTTGCATTGACTGATTCAACAAGGATTCGGCTATTGATTTCAGCCTTCAGATAACCATGTTGACCATCTTTTGTTATTACTTTACAGCATGGAAGTAATTTGTTTAGATTCCCTGTGTTGCACGTCATGGAAGATATTACACAGTTCTGGGTGCATTACGCCAACTCCCAGGCTTGTACAACAGGATAATTCAAATATTCTTCAAACTTCTATGTAGAATTTCTCACGTCTTTTATTTGGTGAGAACACTGTTGACGCTTCAAAATTTCAATGATAATTCACCTCAACTTCATTTATCAATGTGTAAATTCAAGGGAACAATTCATATTTCTGCGATACGTATTCATTTGTCAATCATTTGTTTTGCTTACTCATACACATTGACAGAAGTTATAAATTCTGTATAATCTGTAGCAATCATAACTTCATCAAGCTTTTGTGTATAATGATTCTGTTATGAACTGAAGGTGTACACATAATCAGTTTGGTAATTTTGTTCGAAATATTACCAGTCCCAAAATATGATCACTGTGTGTGTAACTTATTCATTTCAAATTTTATTTACAATAAAACTGAAGTTTAATATAAGAGTAAAAGTTGAGCATTGTGGTCGATTGTATTTCCCCTTTACTCTGTTTATTAGAAATATCACACAGTGAACGAACAGCATCATTTACTAGATAACGTTTCGAACACAATTTATCGTCCGTATTGTCCACATCACGCAAACAACTCCACAACTTCGAGATAGACTTTATATATTGCTAATTTTCTCTCCTTCTCTGTAGAATTTTCCATATATCTGGGACAGATGAAGAATCATTCCTGTAACTGCATATATTCGGTGTTGATTCGATAAACAAAGATTCGGTTATTACTCTCCCCCTTCCTACACCCAACCAACTAAGTTAGTTTTCAACACTGTCACCCTATCCCACCCTACTGTGTGATTGTGTATCATCGCATACAGAGCTATAGCCAAGCTTTTCTCTACATTTCTTATCTTATTAGGATCTACTAATCTTGATTTAGGTAAGTTTTTGTGCTCTGTTATTCTAATCGACCCTGGTCGACTGCTTTCACCTATGTACTTGACCTCGCAATCATTGCAAGGAATCTGGTAGACCAGATTATTTTGCTTAATTGCATGCATAGGATCTTTTAACTTAGAAAGCTTGTTTCTAAGTGAGTTTGTTAGTTTAAATGACAGTTGAATCCCAGTCAGCCTCATTGAGAATTCTTCGTAAAGTTTCTGAGGAGCCTTCTGTGTGTGGTAATACTGTAGAGGTTTTGAATTCTCTCTTAACCCTGTTGCCATTATTACCATCAGTAGTGGAATTATTACTAATAACACTTGTATTATTAGTGCTACCATAGCTAATATTTTTCTTTCGATTTCTGAATTTATTTATAAATTTTGGTAGGTAATTATTGAGACGTAGGGTATTCTTGATGTGTCTAATTTTTTGTCGCAGATTTTCCAATCTACTAGTAAGCTTTTTCGCTCTATCACTTGAGCATTTAACTAGGCCTACTTAAACTGGAATGGGGTGGGAGGATTCGAAGTATAAGTAGTGACAGTGTTGAAAACTAACTTAGTTGGTTGGGTGTAGGAAGGGGGAGAGTAATAACCGAATCTTTGTTTATCGAATCAACACCGAATATATGCAGTTACAGGAATGATTCTTCATCTGTCCCAGATATATGGAAAATTCTACAGAGAAGGAGAGAAAATTAGCAATATATAAAGTCTATCTCGAAGTTGTGGAGTTGTTTGCGTGATGTGGACAATACGGACGATAAATTGTGTTCGAAACGTTATCTAGTAAATGATGCTGTTCGTTCACTGTGTGATATTTCTAATAAACAGACTAAAATAAAACTGAAGTTTATTTATTAGTTCAAGTGTCATCGTTTTGTGTAAACAATAGCTTTGCAAAACTGTCTTTTACTTTCCTCAATTTATGCTCTCGTACTGAGTTCTTCCTCACGGATGAAATGAATGATACCTAAGGAGGGAACTTAGGTGCATTCATAATCTCTGATAGCCGCATGATCACAATGCAGGAGATATTTACTGTCAGTAAACAATCAGTGGATGCAAAGTTTCCTTTCATCACTCGCATAACTTTATACCAGATGGTAACCGTTGGCGAGTTATGATATTATAGGAAGAGTGCGTCTGTAATCTGCATAATTATGTGCACCACACCACAACCTATTGGAAACATCTTACAATTCGTGATACAGCATTTCCTGCTTATAGTCAGGGTTAAAAATTGTTATAACTCACATGGTATCTTTGTTTCAAGAAGGGAAATATGCGATGCGTACTGCCGTTGTTTGGTGCAGGTTGTAGGTCGAGTAGAAGGCAAATCATTTGATAGATGTCGACCAGTTTAAACTCAGTATCAAATACTGTTATGTCACTATGGTTGAAGCGAGGTCCCATAGCCATGAGAAATGATGACATTTCTTCATTTCTTGGATCATATCCATGACCACCTCGTCCTTCTGTCAATAAAGTGAAGGGGAAATGGTTAGAATGAATCGGAAGACAGTCGACTGGTCATTGTGGACTAAATACTCGTTCATAATCTTCGACGAAAGTAGTGTCAATGGTATATTGTTAGTTTATTATTAACCAGGGTTTGAGAAAATCGAACTTGACAGTTATTGGTCAAGTAAGATGACTAAATAAACATCCATGCTTCCAGTTAAGTTTTACCTTGCTTTCTATGCAATAGATTTTGACTTCCGAGTTTTTTATTCTGTGAAAACAGTATTCCAGGGATGAGTATCCATCGTAATATGTAGAAGCATTGTGGGAGTATAAAAATACTTCTTAATTCGTAACACATCAGTTAGGAGAAATCTTCATTCGAGTATTTCTTCATCACTTCAGAGATTATAGTGTGAGTAACGACTTTCAATTAGATTAAGTTCTACAGAAATGTTCTACAGTTCTACAGAAAAGTGTCGTATAATCAGAATATACCTTCAAATACCTTAGGTAGCACAATTAAGTTGTCTGTTTGTGATAAAGTTTGCTCACTCTAATAGAAATACCAGTAAAATAAGATATTGAATGACTGTGTTAACTGGAATTCAAAGTTGGCATCTAAGATGTTGGTCAAATAAAAACCCATTAATCACTGAAATATAAAACGAATCCCGGAAACTGTTTTAAGTTTCCATAAGCTTTCTTAGTTTGACCGTTGTCATATCACGTTTAACCACTTAGTGTCTGCCATTGGTTAGTTTATCTAAATGCATTTTACCGACAATTATTATAAGAAAGATCAAGTATTTGGAAGGTAAACAAAAATATCTATCCGATATCTACAATAGTATATTGATTGGTCACATGACAGCAACCAATTTCATGTTGTCTAGTCCTAAGTACTGACAGAATTCTGTCGTTCATTTTTGCAATGTGGTCACAAAGCTAGGAAGGCTGGCATTGAGGTGCACACTGATAAATAAAAGTTGGTTGAAGGCAGTCGAGGCAATCGTGCTAGTTGGCACTCGTCAGCAAGGCGTATCTACAACCTAGAAGGAACTTATATTCCACCTGAGATTCGAACTTGAATTTGAATTCGAATCGATAAAGTTTGAGCAGTACTTACCTATCTAGGCAATACAGCATCGTTTCAACTACAGGCGGCACAGATGAGGATGTCAAAACCAGAATCGGAAAGACAGCAAGACAGGCTTTCACTTATCTGAAATCAGTGTGGAGATATACTGCACTCCATTCAGCACAAAGAACAAGATACAAATTTTCCACACCAATGTCAAGTCAGTGCTGCTATACAGTTCAGAAACTTGGTTTGTCACGAAAAGCATTTCCAACAAACTACAGATATTCATCAACAGCTGCCACCTACGCTCATTCGATACTGAAGATCAGATAGATGGCCAGAATAATAAGAACAAACAACAAGGAACTCTGGATGACAACGAGCCAGCCAAGAACCTATCACCCAACGAATATACAGAAGAGGAAAGTGGAGATGGATTGGATTGGGCATACACTGAGGAGGCCGATCGGGGACATCACATGCCAGGCCGTGGAACTGAATCCAAAGGGGAAACGACGAGTTGGGCGTCCGAGGTAAGGGTGCTATAGAGGAGATGATGTGAGGAAGAAAGGAAAGCTTGTGGGCAGTCACGGCGCCATGTTGCAAAGACTGCAGAGAAGAGAGTGGAATGGAGGCGTGCTACTGAAGCCCTACGTTCCACTAGGAATCCAACAGAAAAAAAATAATGATAAAAATGAGCAGTATTCAGGACTAAACAATATGAAACTGGTTACTCTTCCGCGACCAGTCAGTGTATGTAATTCAGTCTTACAGGTGGTCAGTCGCGCCTGAATAGCTCATTGGTGACGTTGTTGACTGTAACACTGGGCGGTGTGGGTTTGAACCTAAGGTGTGGCGTCAGTCCCGTCTAGGTTGCAGATACCCATTACTGACGAGTGCCAACATGCACAAGGCCTAGGTATCAAGCTTCCTGCCGATTGCCTCCACCCAACTGAAGTATAACGGTAGTTTCGAAATAAGCTATATTGTGTAACAGTATAGCAGAAGTTTGAAGACCAAATAATTAACTCTATCATCATCTGGTTTGAAGGATCTGCGTTAGTCCTCAGGCTTACGTAGCTGCATATTTATGCAGGCTCATTGGATATATTAACATAAAAACAATTTTCTTCAATATTTGAGGGTTTGATGTCAAGGTAAGCAAGGTACTAAAATGTAGAAATTTTCGTCCATCACGATGATTTACTCAGTTGTGGCTAGAAGAGGAGTCTAGGAAGCAGGTTTCGTCCTTTTTGGGACTCTTCAGATGGGTGTTCCTGTATCCCAGTGAGTGATTTCGTTCCCATTAAAACTCGAACCCCGTACTCATTCTCGTTGTTGTATTGAACCGAGTCTCAGTGGGAACAACATCACTCACCGGGGCGGGGTTACGTCCAGCTGACGAGTCCACACAGGACGAAACGCTCGTCCAGGATTCCTCTGCTGGCCACAAACAAGTAAATTATCACAATAAAAATTCAGGCAATACCAAGGCGTCCGAATAAGAACCCATATGCCAATAGAAGTCGAGTAATTCAATGCAGCATAACAACGGAGAATGATGCGCATATCAACAAATAGTAATTCTTGTCCATCATTTGAAAGAGACGTGAAAACGCTTGATTAAGGGTGATGTTGGAAAACAAACAGAGGTGAACTGCCTAAAAGGGTTCTTTCTTTTTTCGATTGAGGTCTACACACATTAAAGGTCTTGCGGAGACAGAAGTAGGATCTATCATAATATGCTAGAAATAAAAGCGTTATACATAAGCAGCAGGATGCAAAACCTTCAGCTAAAAATCCTAAAGACAAAAAGATACATAAAAGTCCCAGGAGCTTAAACAAAGAATAGTAGTTCAGCGTCCGCACACTGTCCATTATTATACTTCAGTAAATAAATCATCAATGAAATGGGGTTTGTAAATTTCGAGATGTTAATCCGGTCTAAAAAGTCTGTGGCACGCCATTGATCCGTGGATATGATACCATAAATTACGCTCATTTCGAGATACTGACTGACTCAGGAAGAAGTGAATGATCGTGAGTGCCTGACTTAAGAAAAACGTGCTCACGTATACCAACCTGAAAGTGTCTGGGCAGTCTTAAAGAGCTCTTCTTTTCCAGTGAGAAAAAAAATGTAGCAAAGACTTACTCAGAGAGCTGTTGCGATTCGTCTCAGTCGAAATCATCCATCCGAGATCAGCGTGGACAACCACAGGACCAATGCGTTCACTGTTAGCATAATGCAAACGTTGGGGTAGCTCATGTTTCAAATATACATTCATTTTCACATGTTTGTTTTTCAGTTGGAGATATAAATACTCGGCGGTAGTTCCTAAACTATAGTCACGCATAAATGACGAGACTTACCAGAAGTCGGCCACAATGACCAAACCACACCGAAAGTTCTAGGTGCAGTTATGTAATCTTCAGATTGAATGTAGTCGTTGAGATATATTATTCGATCATTGCTGATATTTGTCATTCCGTGGTCACTGGATATGATCACATGCAGAGAGCATTTGAGATTAGGTCGTGAATCGATGGAATTGAGCAGATACTGCAATCCACTATTGATCTCCTCAATTGCTTCGAACACCTGTTGGCTGCCCGCCCCATAGACGTGTCCTGCTTTGTCTGGCTGGTGGTAATACAGAAGTCCGAGATTAACCTGATGGTTGTTGAACCAGTTCATCATCAAATCGACTCTCTGTTTAAACGTGATGCTTTCATTGTACGGTGTCAGATAGTAATTAGGTCGTAATCCCTTGATTTTCGCTTCACTTCCAGTCCAGAAGGCTACTGCACTTTTATAACCATGCTTTTGATTTGTTACCCAGATCGGTTCAGCACCAACATCGTAAAACCTTGAATCAGATGCTGCTGACTGGTTCTTATATGAGAATGTGATATTTAAAATAGGATCATAAAACACATTGTCTACTATTCCATGACTTTCAGGATGTAATCCTGTCACCATGGAAAAGTGTGATGGAAAAGTTGAAGTTGGGAATTCATTGATCAATTTAAGTATTCGAAATCCACTCTGTTGTATCTTTTCAAATGCTGAAATATTGATATTCATTGCTTTAGCTAAATCATAATAGTCGTAACGAAATCCATCAAGAGAAATCAGTAGAACTTTTGGTGTATCTGCACAGTGATTCTCTCCATAGATATATCTTAGAGAAATTAGAAGTGGAATGATGGAAATGAGAATTTTAGTGGTTGAGATGATGTTCATTGAAAGTCAGCGTTGATTGAGTCGTTCAAGTAATCTATCAATACGATCATTATGGTTTATATATATTTGCTTATATATTGTCAGTTGATATAGTTAAAAAGTATCTTCACCAATCATATAATATTGACACATTTACACATAAATAACAGGAAGATTAAAATAATCAACTGGCGGTTGAAATAATATAAAAGAAACAATAGATAAAATCATCAGATTTTATAAATTATTTTCTATACATTTCAAAGATTTATTTTCTTCGCAGAAATGTTTAAACATTGATTTCAATCATGTGATTACTGATTACACAAGATTTTGCTATTTTGATTAAAACAAGGATCAAAAAGTATACACCTAATTTTGTTGCATACATTATATTATTTATCGAGTGAAAAGTTATGCATTAAATCAGTTCTATGAGATGGAAACTTCTAAGTTCTGATTGTTTATATTTTGATTAAATGAGTTCGGTTCTACCTGAAAATATGACAATATGCACAATGTTTATTGATTCACAGCAATACTTATGTATCCAAATGATTGTAGCTACCGAATAAAACTATTAAATATAGCCAGCTAAAGTTGAAGTGAAATTATTCAATGTGATCAATTGATCTCATAAAAATGTAGAGACAGATGCTTTATACTTCAAGTTGGTATTCATGGTCGACCGACACCAGTTAGCGAAATAATGTAGACCTGGAAGCACTGGACAGCCATTTCGTTCCAGTATCAGACTCCTCAGGAGTGCACACCCATGAATCCATACCCCAGCGATGGAACTCATAACTTTCAAGTTCCATGGCTAGCACCTCATCATTGAGTTACAGAATCCTAATCCAGTGGTCTATGTTTTCTACTTCTATCAGTTCACGATACAATGTGGCCTCCATTCAATGCCGTCGTTGAATAACTGTCCTCAACTTCGACTTGGTTGATCTCCACGAGTCACGACTTCTCATTGGGACTTCGGGAATCATCTCTCGAAGCCAGTCACCAACCAGCACTAGATTAATTCAATTTACATGTTTGTGTAGACTTACTGATTTCAGGTTGGTATTCATCATCCAGTCTCATACTACAACGAAACAGCTGTCCAATGCTCCCATATTTCCAATATTTCTCCAACTGATGTCTCTTCATGATAAATATCAGCCTAAAATTACTAAATTCCCCCAAACCTTAAAACTACTTTATACTTTGTCGTGAGGTGTATCTTTTGTTGAGAGCAATAGGGTCGTCAGGAATTCTGACATGGCAAACCATTAGCCGCTGAGTTTAAAATGTCATATAAATCTGTTTATCACTTGGGCAAAAAATGTAAAAGGAATCAGATTATAGTTGGCGTTGTTCTTTTCATTTTGTACGACGTAACTTGTTAATAAATAGGTGATGCTGAGTTTAGCTGCAGACTTATCTTCAATGAAGGACACATTAACCTGTGTATACTGAAGTTGTTAGACTGTAGTAAGTACCAGAACACAGTGAAAATGTCGAGGTGCAATGATACCTAAAGAAGGATAATGTTGTAAACCAGGTAAGTATGAACATATTAAATCCTAGAGATGAGTCAGTTTGGACCATTCAAGGAAGAAGGGAACAAAATCCAGAACCGTTAAGATGTTAATGAAAAATTGTTGTAGGACGTTGTTAGCATAGCTATGAACTGAGGATATACTGCTTTTATTTTGAGTTTTGAATCAGTAATGAAAGGTCGAAAACAATCAATATTTTAGGGATGACAGCTGGATAAAGGGAATCATGGTTTAGCTTAAACATTATGGATATTAAATGTGTGAGTGTTTGGCACAGTTTGAAAGAAGAAATTAGAATCTCTTCTGTTGTGCTCTGTGACGCTTTCAACTTTCGAACCCTAGTCCATGAAGAAGCTTGTTTCTCATCTAATGAGGTCCGTCGAGTAGTTCTATAAGTTTGTGAACTTAATGTTATGTGAGAGAGTACAAGTTTTTGCTATTACCTATTGGCTATGCCTTTTGCTTTCCTGGATGATGTACATGATAGTTACAGTGATGTTTGTGATACGTATGTGAAGTCTTATTTATTTTTGGCTAGGGTTAACATTCATTGAAGCTTCTTGAAATGTCCCTATAAATTCCGAAGTCATTTTACCTAATAGCTGACCAAGGTATTTATCAAAATATACCCTGGAATTCGGTTAGGTATTGGGTGAGAAGGGAGAAAAGTTGTAGCTGATAGGAGACCTATCCATAAATTTCATCCCAATAAGCTAATTAGATCAGTTGTGAACTGAGTAGTATAAATTCACGTATTTTATAGAACTTACTTGACTAGAAATATGACACCTATCGATACAGTTAGTTTTCTACTTCAATCTACAGGAAAACAGCCCAGCTAATGATACTCAGTTAGCCAGCCAGCTTACAATTGCTAAAAATACATTGGGAATGAGAGTATCACTCAAATATCCCACAAACAATCGGAAATACAAACTGAATGCATTCGAACAGCATAATGTGAAGCAGGAGGGCTGAAGACGACTTATCCTTATTGTGATTACTCATTTAACTTAATGCACAGTTATAAACTGTTTAGTCTAAAACAGTGGTGCAGAGAGATGTAAACCATACCTTTTTGTGAAGTGACATGTGCATGATAATATGAGTCTACGACAAAAACAGCTTTATTATTCGACATGAATAACTAATGTTCTTCTCCCGTCATCTTTCGAATCATTCATTATGGTTTACTCAGAAGTGGATCATGAAGTTTATCAGGAAATTTTCAGCTTGAACAGAGACAGTTTACCATTGCGAGCACTAACGTAGCTTAACTGTTGTGAAAAATGTAATTATTATTATTACTTATCTCTTGGATCTTGTTCTTTATGCTGAGTAGACAGCAATAGATCTCCACATTGATTTCAGATTACTAAATGCCTTCCTTGCTGTCTTTCCGATCCTGTATTTCACATCCTCATCTGTGCCTGTGTCACCTGCAGTTGAAACGATACTCCACTGCCTAGATAGGTGAAAGAAACTACTTCCTTTACATTTCTCCGACTGGTGGTGATTAATGCTTGTTATTGTTATTGTTGTTGTTGTTGGTTGAGTATCTTCATCACCTCTGTATTATCTACGTTCATCTGAAGTCACGTCTTCCTTCACTGCTCTGTATAACATCTCCTGCCAACTTGTTAGTTTTCACCTGTAGATCTTCCAGTTCGTGCTACAATCATCATCATCGTCGGCGGAATCAAAATCTCCCTCTGAGTTCATTTCAACAGTCCAGCCAGTGCATGTACATCTTCTCACAGCTCCTCACACTTTCTTGCATGATTCAGTCCAGTTCAGTTAAGTTCAGTCCAGTTCAGTTCAGTTCAGTCGACCACAATCAGGAAGATGATCGGAGATTGTAGGTGGCAACCTTGTCGTACGCCTTCCTCTCTTCACTTCACTTCACTTCACTTCACTTCAAAGACATCACTGAGCTGAGCTCTCCATTGTGAATCACTTGGCATGTAGCATCATATAACATAGTGATATCTATCTGATCCATGAGGTTGATAACGGGTTTGTTGCACTAAAAGCGTAGTGTTGAAGCAGTTGCCTGGCAAATTACTTCTCGGTTGATGCTGTTGAAAGACTTTTCATAATCGGTGAAGTTGAGGTAGAATTGAGTTGACTGCCATTCTATGCTCTGTTGTATGATGATGTGTAGCGTATCGTTGTAATTTGATCCGCATCCGATTTATTTTTCATGAAGCCAACCAGCGTATTCGGATGGTAATTTTGAGTTCAGAGTATTTCTCAATCTCTCTGGGATGATGTGGCTAAATATTTTGCTTGGTTGGTGTGGACAGGAGGATTATTCCTTCCTTCCTTGCAAACGTTCTAAAATAGTGTTGAGAACATGTCCGCTGATGTCTCTGCATGTTTTCGATGCTTCTGGCAGAATTCTATGTGTCCCTTCAGCTTTCCCAACTTTCATGCTATGGTGGTCAGGAAATGTTCACAATTTGTCTTTGTTTATCTCCTAAGTTCTATAATTCTCCGACGCCTGAGTGGAGCTCGGGAACAGCAAGCCCGAGAAAACCAGGCAGGCTTTAGACCTGGCCGTGGATGTATCGACCAAATATTCACACTGCGCCAGGTCCTGGAACATAGGCATGCTTACAGACGCCCGACAATAGCTGTATTTCTCGACCTGAAGGCGGCATTTGACTCCGTTGATCGAGAAGTCTTATGGCAGTGTCTGTCACTGAAAGGCGTGCCTAGTAAGTACATCACCTTATTGAAAGCTCTCTACTCGAACACTTGTGGGCATGTTAGAGCCTATGGTGAGTTGTCCAGGGAGCTATACTCATCAAGTGGTGTCCGTCAAGGATGCCCACTATCCCCATTCTTATTTAATTTTATCATAGATATTCTTATGGAGGTTTCCCTCTCGTCACCTAATTACAAAGACGTTGACCGGATCACAGGTGAATTTTCCTTAGATCTAGAATATGCAGATGACATAGTCCTGTTAGGTGAAGACGCTGACAAGATGCAGAGTCTTCTGAACACTTTGAGTGGGAATTTGAGAATGTTTGGGATGCGATTTTCACCACCCAAATGCAAATTTTTGCTCCAGGACTGGTCTTCAGCGGTACCGCGGTTAACAATAGAGAGTGAAGTGGTTGAGTGTGTTGACCACTTCACTTACCTGGGAAGTAGGATCAACCCCGGTGGGTTAGTTGCCGATGAGATTTCTGCACGGATACAAAAGGCTCGATTGGCTTTTGCCAATTTGCGCCACCTATGGCGCCGCCGTGATATTCGTTTGTCTATTAAGGGTCGCGTGTACTGCACAGCAGTCCGCTCTGTTCTACTGTATGGCTGTGAAACATGGCCATTGAAAGTGGAAGACATGAGAAGGTTACAGGTATTTGACCACCGTTGCCTTCGTAGTATAGGACGTATTCCGTGGTGTCACCATGTGAGTAATGCAGAAGTTAGGTGTAGAGTTTTAGGGAGAAGAGGTAAGTCAGTCGACGAGGTTGTGAACCTTCATCGACTGAGATGGTTGGGACACGTACTACGTATGCCTAGTCACCGATTGCCTCGTCACACAATGTTGGCTGAGGTGGGTTCAGGCTGGAAAAAGGCCCGAGGTGGCCAGACTAAAACATGGCACCAATGTATGAAGTCTCTGACTGTTGGTTTAAGCCATGTAGGACGATGCAGACTAGGTGGTTGGGGTCCACGGGACAAGAGGAACCAGTGGTTGGAGACCCTAGGTGATATGGCTCAGAACCGAAGTCAGTGGCGCAGATGTATACACACATTATCCTCATCTTAACAACGCTATACCGAATCTCACTATTTTGTCACTCCTCTTTCCTTTCTTCTCATACTTTATATTTCTTTTGACTGCATTCACTTATCTTCATCCTTCACCTC